CCAGAGTGCTCCTTGGAGGCCAAGATGGCCAAACGTCGTTTCTCATTCTTCGGACATATTGTCAGGAGGGACCAGAGAATAAGAGGTCAGAGAATAAGAGGAAGCCCCCCAGCAAGATGGAGTGGCAAAGTGGCAGCATCAATGGGCTCAAGCGTGGCAACAATTATGAGGTTGGCCCAGGACCAGACAGTGTTTCGTTCTGTTGTGCATAGGGTCACTATGAGTCGGTACCGACTTGATGGCACCTAACAAGAACAACAACAACAATGCTGATAAAAGGTATTTTATTTTTTCCTAGCTTGAGTTTTACTTCTCAGAGAAGAACACCCAAACCTGGCATCCCTCCAAGACGAGGGTGATTCCTCAGTATCCTGTCAACAAGACTTGGTTTCTGAACTCTTCTAGAGAGTGAGACAAGTGCATTGTTCTTTCATCTGCTGTTTTCAGGGGCTGGGGGCAGATAACCAAACTAGTTTGGAGGCCACAGGCCTAACTGTAATTCCTAACATGCTGGGAAAGGGAGGCTTGTCTTAATGACTTCAGACTAAAAATGTTTTGCATGGGTGACTTGAAAAATCCAAAGAACTCAATCCACCCAAGGACATTTCTCCAGGTTATTCTCCCATGAAAAAGACTGTAAGTCTTAATAGAACCAATAAAATGAGAATCATTTGAGCTGGGTGCCTGCCATGAAACACTCCTCTTGTATATGTGTCAGAACAGGGTCTCAGCACCAAGAGGACTGAGTTGGAACTTAATGGCTCCAGTCAACAGTCCATAGTTCCTTATGGTGCCACCATATTGGGCCAGCCCTGCAGACTGATTTGACAATTAGCTACCACCCACCATTTGTAGCATAGTGGTTATGAGTCGGGCTGCTAAACTCAAGGTCAGCAGTTCGAAACTACCATCTGTTCCGTGGGAGAAAGATGAGGCTTTCTGCTCTCGTAAAGATTTACAGCCTCAGAAACCCTATGCAGGGTCGCTGTGAGTCGGAACTGACTCCACGGCACATAACCACCACCACCACCATTCATTACTCCTCCTTCAACCAGGCTGGTGTGATACAAATGAGTCAAAAATGACCCTAAGTTGTTTACTTCTTCATAGCAAACTTGTTGACCCAAAAAAGCCTACTTGTGCCAAATTCAAATTGTCCACATCCAATCATTTTAGAAACAACCCCAATAAGCAGATGTTTAGCCATGTAAGAGATTGCCTGCTTCATACACCCCTCGAAAATGTGCCAAACATCTGCTAACCTTGTTGTTGTGTGCCATCAAGTCAGTTCAGACTCATAGCAACTCAGTATAAGTTGTTCTGAGAGCAACTGTTGGGTTTGAACTGTTGATTTTATGTTTACCAATCCAGTGGCACACCAGGGCTTATCCTACAGTGCCACAACAGGGCTCTACTAACCTTAGCTAACATAAGGTTATGCCCTATAGGTATAAGGACCCGCAGCTGGATCTATCCTTGAGAGTTCTATGACCCGAAGTCTCCGCACAGCGTCGTAGAAAGACATGGTGGGAGGCACAGGTCAGTCTCCCTCAACCCCTGTCTTCTTCCCCAGGATTTCCATGCTTCCTTTCCCTTTTGTAAACTCCTTGGGCCACCTGGAAGACGTCCTGTTGTGGGGACTGCTCCTACATGCAATGTCAATCTGTTGGCCCCAAGAAACAGCTTGTTGTGCAACATTTCTGTCTCCTGGGCATAATTTCTTCTTTCACCAGCTCCCGAGTATATGAATCTCATTTTCTACTAGGAAAAATGACAGTAATAATAATGGCATTTATTGTTCTTATAGTTATCATGTATTGAGAGTCTACATCATGTGTTAGTCACTGTGATGAACATTTCTTCAGACTCTCTTGTTTAATCCTCAAATCAAACTTGTCAGACTGCATTTTGCAGATAAGGAACTAAGGTCATTACATCTTCAATAACTTGTCCCAAGTCACCCAGCTAGTGGCAGAGGGAGGATGTATGTTTGGGGTGTCCAACTCTAAAAGCAGAGCTCTTTTCATGACCTCTTGACCTACCTTCACTTTTAAAGAAACAAGGTCATGTCAGCACAGACAATAGGAGAGAAAAGTTGGTAGTTGAGAATCAGGAAGAACTGGGGCGTGGCGGGGGTGGGTGGGGGCTGGAGGGGGTGAGGAGCAGCTTTGCTAGCTGTATCCTTTATTCCTCTAATTGTCTTTCCACATCTGTGAGTGGGGATAAGGCGCCCTGGTGGTGCAGTGGTCCCGCGTTTGGATGCTAACTGAAAGACCGGTGGTTGGAACCCACCAGTCACTCTGTGAGAGTAAGATGTGGCAGTTTGGTTTTGTACAGATTCCATCCTTGGGAACCCTATGGGACATCTCTACTCTATCCTTCAGCACTGTTATGAGTTGGAATCAATTCAGTGGCAATAGATTTGAATGGATTTAGGTCTTTTTTGTTTGTTTGTTTGAAAGTTGGATTATGATACTACCTAATTTAGGGAATCATTAAAAGGATTATAAAAGGCAATACATGCAAAGTATTTCACATTGTAAGTACTTGGTAAATGTTAGCTTTATACCTAAAGCTCTATCTATGTATTATGAATTGTAGTCTCTGAAGAGATATGTTGAAGTCCTAATTCCTGTACCTGTGGATATGGCCTTGTTTGGTAAAATAAGGTCTTTCTTTAAAGAGGTCCATATTATCAGTGAAGTTAACAAAGTTATACCGGAGTAGCATGGTTTCTGATCCTTCTAGATGGTGTCTTATGAAAGAAGAGGACAAAAATGGGGTCAGTCATACACAAGAAGATACAAGCAGCAAAAAATAAAGACTGCTTGCAGCTGTTACAACAGTTCTTCTCTCAGAACCCTCAGAAGGAATCACCACAGTCGATATTCTGATTTGAACGGCTATTCCCTAGAACTATGAGACAATGGATTTCTGTTCTTTAAAGCCACTCACGCTGGTATTTTGTTACTGCAGCTCTAGGGCACTAAGCCTTTATGCCAGAATATACCATGAAGACAGGCATCATGGCTGGCTAGTCAAATTAGTGCACTGTGCCTGGCATGTACTGGAGGAAACACAATAAATCCTGGTGAATGGATGGATAAATGAATGAACAGATGAACAAATGGCTGAATGAAAGGGAGAATAAACGCCTTTGTCCTTTCTTGTATTTGTATCTATTTGACTCACCTCTCAGCCTTGGCATGGAGGACTTCTCCAAGTTGACTGTCCTGGCCAGCATTGTGGATGTCATCGGGGATGCTCTGCATGGCCTCAGAGCTGGGGTGGGTGTCTTTGCCCCGCTTGTGTTCAGGACCATTGCATTTCTTCTCAGCTTCACTGTCTGACAAATCTTCAGGGGAGCTGTCCTCACCACTGGTCTCCTCACTTGAGGTGGTCTCATAGCTGGAGAAAGAGACAAAGGTCACTCACTAATGAGAGCAAGATGACCATGGATAACACTCCCTAGCCTGCCAACCACATCCTCCATTCTCCACACCTGCAGCCTGAAGAGAGAGGCTCTCAGGAACCTCAGTGTCAGAGAAACATGCAGTAAAAGGCTTTGACGCTGGAGGCCATTTGGGGAGAAAAATCATGAAATAAGTTCTTTGCAGTGATCACACAAACGTTTGTCTCCTAATTAGCCAGGCATTCTAAGGTTCTCATGGACACATTTGCTTCTGGAATACTAATGCTTGGTCCATAAACGGGTCCCAATGTCAGCAGCAAACATACCCTTTCCACCTAGTGATCTAAATTGCCTAGCATTAGATGAGTCCTGCCTTTAGCCCTCCTTTTTAGGTCAGCTTATACCTGGCAAGGAATGAACTCATCTGCATCTCCTCGCAGTAGGGGTCCCATGGCATACAGTGCACAGTAGAGACAGCTGAACTTGTTTACAGTCTGCAGTTCTTGTGTACAGCCTGTTTAAGCTACTGTTTAGTACAACAAAAGAACATGGGCCACTTGACTCGTGGGGCCCTTCCCTGTCAATATGTCATAAATTCAATAATAAATGACTCTAGTGAGAAAATCCTGGAAGACACATTGATCCCTCTGCTGATTGTCAGAAGACCCCTGAAGGGGGACGAACATTTCCAGTTCTGTGGCCACCAGACACAGCCAGAGAAACCAGTGGCCATGACCTCCATTGAACCTCCTAAGGCCCGTTCTCTGAATGGTCACTACTGTAAGGCCCCTATGCTCACTGGATTAGCAAACCTAGTCTGCTCCTTGTAATGCACACAGTCTTGTCTTGTTTTCCAGATATTCTTTTCTCTAGTGTACTTGGACAACCTTTCGTTTTCATCATAAAGTAAGAAATGGTGGACATATTACATTTACCAAGGAATGCTTTTCTTAGAAGTGGGTCAATAAAAGCTTTATCTGGAAGTTCATTCATTCATTCAACAGAAATTGACTAAGCATATACCATGTACCAGCATTGTTCTTAATGCTTTACCAAAGTCCCTGCCCTTATGTTTTTGCTGTTGGTTGTCACTGAGTCAATTTTTGACTCATAGGAACCCCACGTGACAGAGTAGAATTGCACCCTAGGGTTTCCTAGGTTATAATCTTATGGAAAGGAACTCTACAGTGGTGCTGTGGACTAGGTGTTGGTCTGCTAACCACAAGGTCAGTGACTCAAACCCACCAGCAACACCATGGGATGAGGCTGTCTTCTCCTGTAAGGATTTTGTCTCAGAAAACCTATATAGGGTTACTATGAGTCGGAATCAATTCAAAGGCAGTGGGTGGAATCGTTATTAGAGCAGATCTCTGTTTGTCTCCAGTGGAGACAGTGAGTGGGTTCAAATTCCCAACATTTTGTTTAACAGCCAGCTGAACACTTAACCATTGTATCACCAGGACTTTTGTCTCTGCCCTAGTAGAATTTATATCGTAGCAGGGGAAGGAAAAAAAGAAATATGCAAACAAACAATTTTACATATTATAGTGATATGAATAGCGACAAAAATTATAAAGAGCAATGGGATAGAGTGTTGGGATGAAGGGCTGCCTTAATTAGAGAAGATCTTCTTAACCTGACATGCATATTAGGATCACTTGGGGATGTTTAAAATTCCAATGCCCAGCACTGACTCAGGATCTCAGGATGGAACTCAGACATCAATATATTCTAAAGCTCCCCAAGTGTCTCCAAAGTGCAGCCAAGGTTGAGGACTACGGCATCAGAGTGACCACTAATCAGGAGGAAAACCTGGGAGAAGAGCTTTTTTGGCAGAGAAACAGCAAATACAAATGCAAAGGCCTTGAGACGGCCTAAGGTCTGAGGGCAGAAAAGCAGGAGCCAGAGGTAGGAAACGAGGCCAGAGGGAACCAAAATCTGGGCCTTCTAGGTTTTGCTACAAAGTGGGGATCAGGGGGAGATTTAGGCAGAGAGAGATATGACCTGCTTTAGGTCTGAGATTGAGCTGAGTCCTAGTGTGGCACTGCAGGATAATTCACTGGACCTCAAGGTAGATTTGAATTGCAAGATCAGTGGTTCAAACTCACCAGTCACTCCTCGGAAACTCTATACAGTGTCATTCTGAGTCGGAAATGACTAGATGGCACTTAACAACAACAACACTAATCAAAAGTTTGGTGATTCAGCCCAAACTTGTAGATAGTACCCATTTGGCCAAGCCTCAATGGCTTGATGATCAGAATTTGACTAAAGGAAGACCAAAAAATTATCTTGATAAAGGAAACAAGTGTAAATTGCTACAATTTGATCCAATTTGACTAATACTTATGAATGTTGTTGTTGTCAAGTGCCGTTGAGTCAATTCTGACCCATAGTGACCCTGTATAGGGTTTCCAAGGAGCAGCTGGTGAGTCTGAACTGCAGACCTTGCTGTTCAAACGACATTGCAGTCTGGTGCATTAACACACAGGGCTATGCCAGGACTCCACTTATGGATACAGTAGTTCAAAATACCAATGGAGAGGGAAGGAGTCTTCATATCAGGTATCAATCATATCCCGTCCATACACAGGGTTGATAGAGATGGGCAACTTAGACATTGGCTACCTAAAATGCGGGGTGGGGGTGGAGGGGGTAGAGGTATAAAGGCATGAAGTGACTGGCTTACAAGTTTTTAAGAGGGAGTTTAGTTTTAGAGTGTGCGGGGGAAGGTAAAATCCCCACTAAATAGTTTTTATCCTGTTTAGACAGGTCTGGTGAAAGGAGATGGGGATAAGATTCTTACAATGCAACAGTAACAACATGACTAATTGTGACTGTCACAACTGTAAAGATAGAAGTTTTGTAACAAAAACTGGGGAGTAGTTAATCTTACAGTCCAGGAACAGAGGACCCTAGGACCATGAAGGGAGAAGAGTATGAGTAGAATGTGGAACCCTATCTAGAGAAGCAGCAATACCATGGAGAGACAGAGCAGCTGAGGACTCTAGACTCATGGAAAGAGAAAGGCTGCGTGCTTGTGGCCAGGAGGCAGGCTTACAGAATGTGCTCTTTGGTTGTTTAAATTTTTATATATTCCTAGGTGTTTTTGCTTACATCCTCCAAAAAAACCAGAGGGAATAGAAGCAAAGTCTATTGAATGATGATGCACAGAGGGGATTGTAATCATTGCAATGAAATGAAAAACAATAGGATGAGTGTAAAACTGATGTTCTCCCTCAATTCACAATAAAAACTTAAAAAACAAACAAACAAACAAAAAATGTTTGGTGGTTCAAATTCACTAGTGCTACCACAGGAGAAAGGCCTAGTGGCCTGCATGTATACAAAAAAACCCTGCAGAACACAGTTCCACTCTTTAATACATGGGGTCATTACGAATCAGAATCAACTCGATGGCAGCAGGTTTGGCTATTGGCTTTGTTTTTCTTGCTGTCGTTATTTTTGGTACAAGAAGTGGTAAAAGTACAAAACAAAAATGGATTCTCACAGGGCCAGCATTAGTAAAAGTGGGGACAGCAACTTTCCTATGACAATTCATTTTATCATTTCTCATGGGTTTTTATTTTTGCCTCACTGAACATGCAACAGTGATGCCGCCCATTTGCTTGCATCTAGTGTCTCCTCTCTGGTATGATCTAGGGGTTCAAATGAAGTGGGACTCCAATCTTTTCTGGGAAGCCTCCTGGACCCCCCCACCCTACCAGGCCAGGGGCACCTCCTTCGAGCGTCACAGCACCCTACACGTCCTTCTCTAATAGACTTTATCTCTGTGTGTTGTCATTTCACTGTGACTTCTTGCCCATGCTCAAATTGTGAGGTAAAGACAAGGAGTTACTTGATTTATTTGATTTTTCTTTGATCCTCACCACCTAGCACACTGTCTGCATTTAATAAATGCTTGTTGAGTGAATGATTTAGAAAACATTCTCAATCCAATGTTCTCCTGTCTAGAATATTTAAGACTTTGTTCTTTTTCACAAAACACTTTGGTTATTTGCAGTCAGTTAAAGAAAGCAAGAAATTAAGTGGATTAAATTTGAAATTCTATAAGTGAACAGAGTTGATAGTAATTTCAAGACTGAGGTTCAGGTTAAAATAATTCTTGAAAGGGCCTAAGGGTCCCCTTAAGCTTCCAGAAGTTAACCTGGGGTCCTAGCCCTTGGAGAGACCAAAGCCAAAATATGAAAAGCAGAGGTTCCAACAGACCACAAGGGCTGGCAAGGAGCCGAACACATGCAAACCCAAGATGGAGCTTTAAAGGGTCATTAAGATGAATTTCCTTGAAGAAAAATGAGAACCAGATGCATCCCCCTAGGAAAGAGCAGGAAAGAGTGCTAAGGACAATAGCGGGGGAGGGAAGGCAGACTGAGCTTCATGAGCGATGCTTACCCACCGTTAACCCCAACAAATTGAAGGTTCTTTTTGGTCCCATTACCTCCTGCACGGAAGCCATAGTCTTTCTTTTTCATTATGGATTTAAGGCTGGCCGACGGGGAGAGCTCTAGGTAGACACAACATGACAGGTTAGAATGGCCTTGGGGATGCCCCACAATACAACAAAACTAGAATCTTGCTTGGAACATGTATAGATCGAGGGTGTGTGGTGAGAAGGAGAGGGACAGGGATGTTAGAGGGTGCCTTTAGTGGACCTAGCTTTGTGGTCAGTGCTGACAAGACTGTCCCTGTTAATGTTGCCATTGATGTCCCTGTTAATGATGCTATGTGAAATCCCTACATGATGCAAAAAGGTTGGCTAGAATCCACTCAGTGGAATCTCAGAAAAAGGGTAAAGTGATCTACTTCTGAAAAATGGAAAGCCCTAAGAATCATCAGTGTACTGTGATACACACGGGCCCACTGTGAGTTGAGTTACGTGTGGATGACAGAGTGAGATTGTTTGGGTGTCACTGTTGCCCCTACCTTATTTCTGGAAAGCCAAGGCTCAGACTTGCCCAAGGTCAGATGATCAATGACTGTCAGGACAGGATTAGAACTCCAGTCTCTTACTCCTAGCCCAGTACCCCACTTCTACTAGAGGATACTCCTGACTTACATGCAAGTTGACATTTCTAATGTGGGAGAGGCATGTCAAACAAGTGAGCAAGAGTACAAATTTCCTTTTGAAGTGCTCAAAAGTACCAGACGCATTTCCCAATGGATAAAAGTAGAACTAGCACTGAATAATAAGAAAGCAGCCAATTTGTGATTTGAGGCAGGAAGCCGACTCACAAACTGCCTGTTGAGCAAAGCAAAATATGGTTCCACTTTACTCAAGAGTAAAGACTGTCTGATCTATCACAAGGGGAAGAACCATTTAGCCAAAAGGCAGATTACTACATGTGAGGGCCATTCACTCACACATGTGCACACACACATGTACTCCACAAGGAAAAATCTCCAGAACTAGGCTGGAGAAAACTTCTACAGCGTGAGAACCACCAGAAAGGAGCACAGAATGCAAGGGGCCAAGAACCAATGGGAGGGGACTGATGATAAGAGCACACCGAGTTAGGGCCCTGTTGCCCAGAAATTGCCTTTGTGCAACTCTGGGTAGGTGTGGTCCTACAAGGACATTGCTGGCAAGGGACAGGTGTGCTGTGTTGTTACTCCCATTTTCCTTCCTCATCTGGCATTTGTGTGGCCCGTGTCAGCTGTATTATCTGACTCCATACACAGTACCAACCTCAGAGGAAGACTAAGCATAGTGGTATTAGATCTATTTTAATTCCACAAGGATCTTGCAGGGGCCTAAGGGTTTTTCAAAAATAAACTCATATCATTAAAAATCTTTTTTCCCCTCTTCCTCAATCTGTAAAGGAGAAAAGGTTCCCTGTTTGGGGTATGAGTATTTACCCATTGGTGGGGAGGAGGAAGTAGGGGCTGGAGGGGGTGCCTGGGCTGAGTACGCGGACAGCAGCAGGTTGAGGGAGCTCAGTAGCTGGCTCTGGATGCTGCTGAGCTTGGAGGCAGGTTGCTTGATGGCGCTGGCCAGTTCTGGGTACCCGTGTTCCAAGCAGTGCCACTGCTCTTGCAGGAGCTCCTGAATCTTCTTAACATATTGCCCAATGGTGACATCTGTGGGTGAGCTTGGTGGCCTTTCTGGACACTCTTTCCCTGGGAGCCCTGGACTGGCCTCCTCCTTCCCAGTTGGGGAAGACTTTCTGATGTTACTCCATGAAGAACCTCCTGTTTCATTGGTCAGACCCTGAGGGCCTCCCTCCTGTTCAGACTCTGCTTCTTCGATCCTGAGTTCGGTGGAGAGGCTGTTAGGTAAAGGGGAGGCGAGGACCATCTCAGGTCCATGTGGCAGTGAGAGTTGGGGTGGTAATGCATGTTCTTCTGGGCTCTGATCTGCTGGTTTCTGGCTGCCTTGTCCCAAAAGGTGGTCATTTTCCTCTCCTTTGGCCTCCCAGCTTTCAGAATTTGTCATGCCCAGAAGGTTGACCCCAATGCTCTTGTCACAGAACTCCCTAATCACGAGTCCATGAAGAGGCTCAGTGTTCACCATGGCATCAGTCTGGCCCTGGGTGTCTTTGGCATTCTCCTGGCTAAGTTTTTCTTCTAACTGGGCTACGGTACACTCTAGCTCTTGAATCATCTGCTCCCTGGCCTTGATTTCCTCTTCCTGCTGTTGGAGGACAGCTCTGGCCTGGGCCAGCTCTTCACTCCTTCCAGACAACTCACCCTCCAGGGCTGTGACCTGCTCCCTTAGGCTGGAGACACTACTGGGATCTACCCTGGCCAAGCCCAGACTTTCCTCCGTCACCCTGAGGCCAACACTTCTCACATCAACCTCAATAGGTGGCGGAGGTGGGAGCTCACTGATGTTGAGTTCAATTTCTTCTAGGGGGAGCTCATTTTCTGGGATGGGTGATGGTAGGGGAGGAGGACTTGGTGATGGCAAGCCAGGAGTGACTGTCACTTCTGCTTCTCTGGCTTCATGTTCTTCATTTGCATCCTCTACAAGTGCATTCTGGGATAAAGAAGGAGGACCTGGGAAAGAGAGGTGATTTGGAGCCTCCTCTTTACCCTGTAGAGGCGTGGCCCCCTCCCAGACCAGCTTTGGACTCTCTCGCAGCAGATCTCCAACCTCTCTGACTTTTGGATGGGTTGATGCTTGTGGGCTAGAGCTCTGAAGACCTGCAAAGCCTTCTACAGAGCTAAAAGTGCCTTCACAGACACTACCTTCACCCTGAAGTGGAGGGAGGGTGAATGGCGGAGAGAGAGCTGAGGGTGTGCTGGACTCCTCAGAGACCTTGTTTTGCAGCAGCGTGGCTGGCATGCTGGATGCTCTCAAAAGCTGGGGCCGCCCACACCCGGAGAAAAGCTCAGCAACCTCAGGAGGTGCTGTCTCCAACTGCCTGGTGGCCTCAGCCAACAATGCCTTCCTGTGGTAGTTCACCTCACTGCCACCAGCTGAGACATGGGAGGAGTCACCAAGCGGCAGGGTCTGGGCTCTCTCCTCTATCCCAAGTGACACCTTCCTCAGCACCGCTGGGGACCAGTTAGAGTGAGGAAGAGCAGGATGAGGCTGAGCCCCACTGTCAGGAAGGCTGAAGTTTCGGGGCAAAGTACTAAACTTGGCCTGCTTGGTCCTTCGGTGAATAGGGATCCTTCTAATGGTGTTTCCTTTCTCGATGTCATCCACATATTTCAGGAAGTCCAGGTCTAAATGGAAGCCATATGGTGTCTCCACAGAGTAAGGGTGACTCTTGGGTGGGTCTTTCTCTTCGTCCACCTGAGAGGACTTGTTTTTGGCTAAGACACATAAGATGTAAAAACAAAAGAAAAGAACACAACATTAATAAGCACTAAAAGGCAGTGAAGCTTAAAATCTTTGATTTTGAGTTAGCACTATCACGTAACCCTTCTAAATGGTAGAGCCTCTAAATTATGCTGAGATGCTGCACACAGTCTTTTTAGCTGTGCTAAGAAACAATCTTATTAAATCAATGTGTACTTAGCCAATGTCTGCAAGGAATGAGGGAGAGGGAACAGTTTCCGATTTGTAGTCTATCATCTCAGTTACCACAGTGGAATCTGCCTGCAGACCAGCAAAACAAAATTGTCTCAGACTGTTTTTCTAGGTTTGAATCATGTAATTGCAGAACTGCCCAGGAATTTGCCAAATTAGAGTGCTAATTGTCAATTATGGATGTGGAAGGCTTCACAAGTTGAGATACACAATTGTCTAAGCCTTAAAAACAGAAGTTTGCATTATTCAAATAAGCCTTGCTTAAAGCCAATGACATCAATGAGCTTTGCCTTCTATGCTATTTATGCTTCCTCAGATGGCTGAGCCTCCAGGTACAAGAATATCAGAGAGAATTGGAACAAGGAATCATGCACAGCCTTTTCTACCTGAAAACTGTTCAGTGCTTAACAAACACAAATTTCTTTGTTAAAAACTGTGGCAACCAAGGAAATAATCACATTTCTCAAAAGCTGTATAAAAGATGATGAAGCAAAAGGGTCAATTAATGTCGAGAAGGACATGAACATGTACCCTGAAAGAGAGGAGGGGCTCATGACTTTTCAGGGCAGTCCAGACCCTTTGGGGACATCTTGATGAGAAAGTTCTCCTTTGTACCAGGTTACCATTGATCTTGCAGCAGTGCCCGCCATTTGACTCCAATAGAGGACACTGAGAACAAGTCAGTCCTTTGAGTATATGAAGCCACAGGGACTTGTGTCTAAGTACCTTCTTTAGGTTAAATTTAGGAGTCCTGGTGTGACACTGTAGGATAAACATAGGACTGCTAACCAAAAGTTTGGTGGTTCAAACCCATCAGCCACTCCTTGGAAATCTTATATAGGGTTGTTATAAGTCAGAACCGACTTGATGGCACTTATCAAATCAGACAAATCTTCTTCCTAAGGTTAAGTAGTTTTTGTTCTTTCAATGAGAACCCTCATTACCTCTGACCTTCTGCGAGATGTGCTTTCAAAATGTCATGTTCAGGAAAGAACATTTGTAGAAAGGCTAAGGATATTGACTCTGGAACCTTGTTTATATCCCAGTTCTGCCATGTATGAGCTCTGTGATCTTGGAGAAATTGTTTGCCTCTCTGTATTTCATCATCTGTAAAATGGGGCTAATCATAGGAACCTACTGCTTAAGATTATTGTGTATAATTAATACATACAAAGTACCTACAGGTATTCAATGCGTGCTCAGTATTGTAATTATTGTCTTTCTGGAAGCAGGAAATATAGATAGCTAAAGTCCTATGATGGAAACTGACTTCATTTGAGTCAATGCTGGGTACACAAAAGGACTCAACAAATTCTTTGTGACTAGTGGATACTTTAGTACATCCTGGATGCAAAATTTAAAAAGAGCAGTAATTGAATTCACTGACTCAACCACTATTTATTGAGCGACTACATGTCACTTGCTAGCTAGATCCTAAGGGCAAGGAGATAAAATGAGTGCAGTCCCATTGCCCTAAACAGTTTATGATCAAGTAGGAGAGGCACCAACAAATAAATGCAGTGTGACTAGGAGGGTAACACACAAGTCTTCTTCCTTGATATATTTTCCCAAAATTATTTTCTTGGACTTGGAGGTGACTTCTGCCTTGATAATTGTTATTAAGCTTAATAGGAAAGGGATAATGTCACACAACTGATATAGCAGGGGCACATTAAAAGAATAAATAGGAATTTTCCAAGTGAACTAGAGGGTGGAAGACATCATGGCAGTTTATCTTCAAGATTTTAAAACAGATGCCATTGAGTCAGTTCTGACTCACAGCAACCCTGTGTAGGGTTTCTGAGGAGCTACTGGCAGGACTGAACCATGGATCTTGTGGTTAGCAGTCCAGTGCTTATCATAAAGTGACACAGTAGGACTCTAAGATGCCCACCATCAATTCCTACCCATTCTATGCAATCAAGCTCACTACACATTGAGAAGCAGAGTCTCTCCTCACTCCTCTAAATCTAGGCTGGCCCAGAACTGCTTTGAACAAACAAAATACGGCAGAAGTCATGCTAACGATTTCCTAAATTTAGGTCATAAGAAGTTATGTAACTTCCACTTGCATCCTTGGAATACGCATTCATGGGAAGTCAGCTGCATTGTAAGAAGACTAGCTTCCTGAAATTGTCATGGTATAAGGAAGCCCAAACTAGTCATGTGGAGAGAGGGAGAGAAAGGATAATCAATTCCCTGATGATTTGTCATTCTAGTGTAGGTGCCAGGTATGAGTAAAAAACCCTTGAGGTGACTCCAGCTGCGGTCATCATCTGATTTCAATTGCAGGACAGACCATTCAATTGAGCCTGTCAACCTACCTGAAGCCATCATCAACAAGTGGATTCTGGTTCATAGTGATCCTGTAGGTCAGAATAGAGTGGTCTCATAGGATTGATAAGGCTGTAGTCTCTGTGGAAGCAGATTACAAGTTTCTGGTGGCTTTCCATCAACAACCTTTCTTAGATGCTCAGCACTTAGCCACTGTGCTACCATGGATCCTTGTCAACCCCCAGTACTGGCTTAATAGTAAATGATTATTTTAAGCCATTAAGTTTTGGTGGTTTCATATGTAGCGATAAATAATCAGAAGAAGTATTCTCAGTATATATCAGAGCACGGACGTGTGAAATTGCACAGTATTTCAAGGTTCTGTGAATGCAGTTGTTATGACTGGAACCTGAAGGGTGGTAGAGTAGAAAAGTAAACTTGGAAATGTAATCAAGAGCCAGATCACAGAATAACTCATAATCCATGCTAACAAGCTTAAACTTTACTCTCTAGGTAGCAAGAGTCTTGAATAGTTTTAAGCAACCGAGTGGCTTGGTCAAATGTATGATCCCAAAAATAGCATTTGTATAGCAGATTAGAGGAAGGGGAAAGGAGAGGTCCCAAGACTGTCTTACCTATGTGAGGGAAACTATAGGCAATAAAGGAAAGGGGCAGGTTAAAGAAAAGGTGCAAATGATGGCATGACCAAACCTGGGCACATTGACAGATTGGGCTTGAGCTCTTCTCACGTGTCTGTCTGAGTTCTCTGTGGGACTGATGTAACAGGTTTGTCAAGTACCTTCTGTGCTTAGGGATGTGCAGTCATTGCCAAAGAACACATGAAGGCTGAACTTATGAACATGGACCCAACGGAGTCTACCAGACATCAAGGCTAAGTAAAGCCATCGGGTATGTGGGTTATTACAACATAACCACCGCAGAGAATAGAATGAAGTACTTGTGCCAATTAAAGATGGTCTTTGTTGGGTTCCAGAGCTTCTACAGCAGACTCCTGAACTTCAGGTGGATGAGGGTTGTAAATACTCCTCATATTCACCAACACGATTTTTTACTATCCTGGATTCTCCCGAAGAAGCACACTGGTTGTTTCTAAAAACGAGAACCATTTTTTGTTACTGTTGCTGGCTGAATGTTTCTAAAAACGAGAACCATTTTTTGTTACTGTTGCTGGCTGAATGTTGGTTTTTCACATTGCCCTCTACTATTTGTCTAGGTTTATGGGTCTACCCAGCAGCCTCCCGGATTAGAAGACAGGCCAAATCACAGAGAAGATATTAGTTTAAAGTTAAGTAGAGAACAGATTTATGACTTAGAAGGCAAATAACTCTCCTAAAGGAAAGGCTGCATCATTTATCTGCTCATTGTCTCAATTCAGTTGAAATGCACTGATTTACCCAGCGGCCTCTGGGAGCAGGTCCAGAGCACAAATACAATAATAGCATCAAATAAAAAACAGTGGATTCAAAGGTGAAATCTTTCACAAGGGACATGAGGGAAGCCAAAGGAATCTGTGAGTCTGAGCAGTTATCCAGGATGACAGCTTTAATGGAGGCTTTACTAAGCTAGCACTATGGAGCATAAGAAGCTCTGGTAGTGTAGTGGTTACAAATCGGGCTGCAAACCGCAAGGTCAGCAGTTCGAAACTACCAGCTGTTCTGTAGAAGAAAGACGAGGCTTTCTGCTCCTGTAAAGATTTACAGCCTCAGAAATCCTGTTCAGGGTCACTATGAGTCGGAACCAACTCCACGGCACATAACAACAACAACATGGAGCATGGTACACACACACACACACACCACCATGTTGCTCTGTTTGCCACTCGCCACTCAGCGTCCTATCTCTCCTTTCCAGTGCACGAGGAATGCTGGACTTGAATGCTGGGAGGCCTTCACTCACATTAGTTCGGCTCATGCTAATTCTACTTGGTGATAGGTATGCAGTAGCTCAGAATTCCAGGCACTGGGCCAGGGCAAGAAATTATTAGGTGGACTGTCTCTGCTCAAAATGAAGCTCAAGTCCAACAAGCCCTCTATGCTTAGGAATGCGCAGAACTAAATGAAGCCAATTAGACACAAAAGGCTGAACTTATGAGCCTGGACCCAATGGGGCCTACCAGACATAGGCTGTTTGTTATGTCACAACCATGGCAGGGAACAGAATGAGGTACTGAGTGCTGACCTAAAAAATGGGTGGGCTTTATTGGGTTCTGGAACTTCCACAACAGACACGTGAACTTCAGGTACATGAGGGGTAAGCACTCTTCCAGCATCCAAAAAATTCCAATTCAGCTCCCACCCACCCACACATTGTTTTTTACCCCTTGCCTGACTAGATTTTGATTCTGCTCTGTTACCTCCTACCTGTGAGACCCTGGGGAAATGGTCTGATGTCCTTATTTATAGAAACAACAACATCTAACTTATGGAGTGGTCATCAGTATTACCGCTAATACATATAAAGATTACAACACAGAGCCAGTGTTCAACAGTGGTTGAAAGGCAAGCCAGGGTTGGTTCTGAATGGGGTTAAGGAGGACTCTTGGAGGATATGCTTTGTTTATATCTACAGCCTCAAGACAGTATGAGTGTTTTTGTTTTAATTCTGAGAAATTGTAGAAAGGAATCAGCAGGAAAGAAAGAAGATATATGGGCTCAGAGCTACCTGGAGGATCACCCTCTGAAACCCAACAGATGACTCAACCTTTGGGAAAGATCTAGGAACACAGCCAGCAGTTTACACTTAAACATGAGAAAGGGAGACCTGAAGGGGCCAAGGTAAGGAAGGAAGTGCCACAGTAATTATCTGGAGGGCCAAAACAGTGTGCAGGTGAGAAAACCAATTAGAGGCATCTCAAGTGGAGAAGAAAAGTTCAAAGACTTATATTCAATTTCTGAAAGAAATGAGAAAAACAGAAACTAGAGACAAAGTGGCCAAAACATAAAACTGGAGAGTGACCAAAAAGTCAACCCAGAAAGAAAGGTAACTAAATGAGTCTCTTCTAAAGGCCGAGACTGTAAAGGAGACTTTTCCCTCTGCTTCCTTTATTTTGTGAGAAAGGTGTGGCTGCAGGAAGGAGACCTTTTTGATGCTAGCTGTTAGCCATCCTGCGAGGAGAGCAGCAGTTCTGTGGAAGGACTGATGAGGAACGGATGAGGCAGGCAGTGATGACAGATCCTAGAGCAGTGAAAGAATGAGTGGTGTTCTGTGGGACCACGTCCAGGGAGGCAGTGAAAAGGCAGCTCCCTGGGGAGAAAGGAAGACTCTTGAAATATATGGTATGTGCATTTTGGAAAAGGAAGAGGCAAGGCTTGAAGTTGATGTCTGGTGCCTAAGTCCTGCCCCAGTAAAGAATCATGTGATTCAAGGAGGTTTCCAGGCTCTCCAGTTTCTTGTATTGTTGAGCTGGAGAAAGTACCTCAATGGATGTCAGGGGATGGGGGCCTAGTCTATGACTTTCAGCAGGTTTCCAGGGGAAGACAGTAACATTTATGGAGACATATGAGTGTGCTGTTGTTATGCTAATAAGTTTTGTGGAGTTTATTTCAACTCATAGTGATCTCCCATAGGATACAGTTTTTGTTGTTAAGTGCCATCAAGTCCATTGCGACCTTGTATTGGGTTTCCGAGGAGCTGTTGGTGAGTATGAACCACCAAGCTTGTGGTTCAAATTGAACTTGCAATCCAGCTTTATCCCACACCAGGACTCCATATGACAGAGTAGAACTGCCCTATAGGGTTTCCTTTATCTTTATGGAGGAGTCCTGGTGTGGTGATGTAGAATAAGCACTGGACTTCAAGGTCGGCTTGAACCACAAAGGTCAGTGGTTCAAACTCACCAACTGCTCCGTGGAAATCCTATACAGGGTCCCTATGAGTCGGAACTGACTTGATGGCACTTTAACCACACCACACCAACAATCTTAATGGAAGCAGGTCATCAGGTCTTTTCTTCCTTGGATCCTCTGGGTGAGTTCAAACCACCCATTTGGTTAGCCACAGAATGCTTAACAGTTGTATCATCAGGGTTCTGCTTATTCATTTGCTACAGTTATTACGTGACACCTTTACATAGATTATCTCTGAATCTTTTACCCACCTTATTATTGCTGTTGTTGTTAAGTGCCGTCGAGTCAGTCCTAACTCATAGCGACCTTGTACAGGGTTTCCAAGGAGCAGCTCAGGGGTTTGAACCGCTGATCTGTGGTTAACCTACAGTGCTTATCCTACAGCGCCACACTGGGAGTCCTATCCTATCCTATCCTGCTTATCCTACAGTGCCACACTGGGAGTCCTATCCACTGTATAAGTAGACATTAATACCTGTTTATGGACTCCTGGTGTGGTGTTGTAGGATCAGCACTGGACTGCGAACCACAAGGTCGGTAGTTCAAGCCCACCAGCTGCTCAGAAACCCTATATAAGGACGTTATGGCAATTGACAAAAACAACTCAATGGCACTTGATAAAAACAACAATAGATGAGATGAGATAGAACATTGGCAAAAGCAGACACAATATTTGGTATTCCTCTTTTACATTGATTTAGGTTTAGCTTTCTGTCTTGCTTTGGCCACGAGTCAATACAAATGTGACATATGCAGAGACTTGAAAATTGTTTGTATACTGGAATTTGTTTATTCCTATTATGTTTACAACACTTCTGCTACCTGTGAACAAGCTTCAGCTCATCTGCTGGATGATGAGAAACGATGGCCAAGTGTTATCAGCAATGCTCCAGGTGGTATAAAGTTAACCACTAGACATGTGAGCACAGCCATTCTTAATCACCCAGCCTTAGCCAAGCCACCTAGAAGACCGCAAGCATGTGAGTGGGCACAGCAAAGATCAGCCAAACTTACCCACATTGGAATAATGGCCAAGACAACTCACATTTAATCTTTTGAGAAATATTAAATGCCTGTTAGTTTAAGTCTTTAAACTTTGAGGTGGTTTGTTACACAGCAAAACTAACTGATACATGGCAAGACTGAAACTCAGAGAAAATGACTTGTAGAATCACACAGATATGAAAGGAGACTCTTATCATATCATACCTTTCTTCTAGACCTCAAGTGTCTCATCTACAAAACAAGGGTAATGGGTATCAGAGTACGACGAGAAAACACTTTGAAGACTACACAAATCTAAGAAAACTTTTTTCCAAAAGTTCATGGGGAAATTCCAGTATCTTTTCACTCCGTTTTCCACAAACTTTTGGAAGCCCCCTTGTACAAGGCCATGTTCTCATTCTCTGTCACCTTGTTTTGTTTATGTCTGAAATATTTGGTTTGGCCTCCTAACACTGCCTATTTGGGGAATGTCTACTTGTAGACTTTCACTAGCCTATTTCCAGATTTGTGGTCACAATCCTTTTCCAACTCGAGCACTCATTTTAAGTCAGGGAATAAACTAGCAGTGGGCATACCGTCTGTTTTGTCCATCTTAAAGAAAGCTGACCGTTAGTCTCTCAGGCACTCTTCATCTACTGTGTCCGTGGGGTTCGTCTGAGAGTTCTGGAAGAAAGAATAAAGAAGCAGAGAGAGTCTCATTAGAATTAAAATAGATATTAATGAAATACAGCACCCAATACAGGGATAATCTTTCCTACCTTTCTTTGAGGGGTGCCCTGGACTCACAGAGCCTCACAGTGGAAGACTAAAAGATGGTACACACTCCTAGTGCCTCACTGTGGGTATGTAACCATGCAATAACAGTCCTAGTGTGGCTTTAGCATACTAGGCTGGGCTGATAAACACAAGGTTGCTGGTTCAAACACACCAACTCCTCCTTGGAAACCCTATACAGGTTCACTGTGAGTCAGAACGGACTCAACAGCACTTAATAACAGCAATACCATGAATTGTTAGCCACAGGAAACATTTGGTCTATCTCCCTCACTTGGCAGATGAGGAAACAGAGGTTTAGAAGTTCAATGCTTTGTCTAAGGCTTCTCAACATATCAGAGAAAGAGCTAGAAGCAGACAACCAGCATCTTGTATTCTCCATTATATCAAGAGCTAAAATACACCTAGTCCCATGCTGGCAAGAGAATTATAATTCACTTTGTAAAAAGCTTACGTCAGAGTACCTATAAGTGACTGGTGGCATTCCAATCAAATATAAGATGAAGATGGGATAATTACAAGTAACAAGAAGGAGTCAACACTGAGAGGTAATTTCTAAGCACAGGCTGAACAAGAGCAAGTTCATCCCAGGTAGCCAAAAAATGTCAGTGACTACTCAAGCAGAATATTTTCTTACTGTGAATTATTGTACCTTGAGGTTTGATCATAAATGTTCCCCAAAGTTTTAATCCATTCCCAAGACTCTTTTTCACAATGGTAAACAACCTAATTCCTGTCTCCATTACAATAAATCACCCAGAAAATTGCCTTTTTATGATTGTAACTTCATATACCTCTGAATAATGAATTATCTGTAATACTCCAGCAGTGGAAACAGGGTTGTCTAAGGAATTCTAATGTACTCGACAATGGACCAGCAATATTGGAAGGGGTAGGGAAAACTGGGAGTGAGAGAGAAGACTGAGGGATAGCTCCCAACAACGTAGAATAAAAAAAGAGGGGGGAGTCAACTAATAAATTAGAGATGATCTCTGGAAAACATTAGACCTGCCGCAAAAAAGAGAAAGTTGAAAGACTGCCAAACAGAAATTTTCATATGACCTATTGCTGTGAGTACCCACGATCTCCAAAGCCGCTGCCCTGCTTCCTGTCTTGGCTCCTCCACACCTTTTCCTATATGCTGGTCTCATGATGCTCTGAAGGGCAGACAGGGTTTCTATAAGCAGAGACACTCCTTACAGAGTAATGCCAACATAAACACTTCCTTCATCTTGGAGGCAGCTTCAACCTAGCAGAGGTATAAACCAAAAAAAAAAAAAAAAAAAATCACTTCCATTGCTGTCACGTCAGTGAACTCATGGCAACCCCATGTGTGTTATAGCACAGAAATCCAGAAGCAGATAATCAGTCCTGTCTTCTGTCGTGCCACTGGGTAGATTTAAACAACCAACCTTTTGATTCGTAGTTGAGTAGAGACAGCTTGCACCACCCAGAAATCTGTGCAAAGGCATAGAAAGGATTAGCATCCCATGTCCTGACAAGTATTTGAGTTAGGTAGAAGTCTAGAGGTGAAGGAGAGAAGTTGGGGACAAGGAGAGAGAGAGTGTGGATGGTCCTGGAAGTTGAATGTGGCTCTGAGGGCAAGCAAGGGAGGGTGGCTCTTGATCAAAAGCAGCGTTGTAGAGAGAAGTTTCCTAGGCTGAGGACCCTACTGCAGAACTCAGTGGGCAGCACAGGTCTGTAGTGAACAGGGGAGAGACTCCCAAGTGCTGGTAGACAGGAGGGGCCAAGAGAAATGGGATTTGTGCTCAGTAGCATCCAGGTAAAACCTGGAGCAAAAGAGGTTGGGACGAAGCTGTAAGAGCAGTTCTTCCTGCCTAATTCTTCAGCTGTTGGCAGCGTGAAGGTCACAAGTGAATTTGGAAATTCTTTTCAAAAGTTATGTTTCAATACAAAAGGGGTGAGTTCTGAAAATGCCTCCTGTGTTGCATTAGGTCTCAGTGCTGGAGGTTCCTGGCTCATAGTCCCCTGGCTTTCCAAGTCTTGTATCATGAGCATCAAGCTTCTTTCCTGTGGCCTCTGTCCTCATACCCTAAGCTTGGTCCCATGGTCTGTCTCTTCTTCATCACAGCCTTCTCCTCTCCTTCTGCTCCCCATCACCTCACTAAGCAAAAGGCAGAGCTCAGCGTACTTGGCGTATACTAATAGCTCATTTAATCCTCATGATAAGCCAAAAGGGATTTTTATTTCTCTGCTTTTCAGATAGGGCACAGAAGGCTGGGAAAGTGTATAAACCAAGCAAGTGTTGGATTGGCTCTCAGGTCTGGCTGATTCCAAGTTTGCCTTCTTGCTGAGGAGTACAGACAATGGCTCAGAGCATAGATTCTGGAGCCAAATATCTGGATTCTAATGCCAGCTCTTCCACTTACTAGTATCACTTTGGGGTAAATACTTCACCTCACTGTACCTCAACTTACTCATCTTTAAAATGGATATAGTGATAATGAGTACAGTGTTTATAGGGTCCTTGAGGTGACCAGTGAATAGGCCTAATGCCCCTTGGGAGTCCTGGTGTGGTGCTGTAGGATAAACACTGGACTAAAAGGTCAGTTTGAACTGCAAGGCTGGCAGTTCAGTCATTCCTCTGGAAACTCTATACAGGGTCACTATGAGTCAGAACCTACTCAATGGCACTTAACAACAGCAACAACAACAACAACAACAAAGCATCTTGAGCAGTCTCTAACACTGTCCAAGTGTTAGCAGTTACTTTTGTTATTCACACTGTATCAATTTCTCCTATCTCTGGCCTATCTTCTCAAGGTCTCTTCCTCCTGTCGGCCTCCAGCTTCCCTGGCCTATCTGATTCCTTCCCCTTCCCCCCACACTGCTCTCTTCTCCTAACCTTCAAGACCCAGTTTAATCCCACCCATCCTACGAAGCATTATTTGAAACCAGTTTTTCCAAATTACTTTTGGAAAAATTACCCATTTCTCCTCAGGTTCAGCATTTACAAGAGTCTCAGATTACAAACAAGTTCTGTTCCTAAATCTGTCTTTAAATTGACTTTGTATGGAAATCAGAACAGTTCATATTTAATGTCAATGAGTCCAGTGTGTGTCTCAGTTACCTAGTGCCGCTATACTAGACACACCACCAGTGGATGGCTTTAACATAAACAGAATAACAGAATAAAGAGAAATTTATCATCTCACAGTTTAGGGGACTGGTGCTGGCTCTGGGAGAGCTCAGACCCATGACACTGACACCACTCTGGACCTAACTTTGAATGCAACACAGGAGGCCATTTCTTTTTAACTTCTTAGTGTGAACTGAGCAAAGGCTTACAGAGCAGGTCATTGGTTTTACATTCAACAAATCATGTACTTCATTACAATGATTACAATCCCCTCCATGTACACCAACAGAGGAGGCGTGTTTAGAACTCATCCCTTATGTATCGAAACATAACTGTAAGGAGCTTCCAAATTCACTTGTGATCTTCACGCTACCAACAGGTGAATAATCAGGTAGGAAGAACTGTCCCTGCAGCTGCGTCCCCAAGGCCTTTTTTTTTTTTCTCTCCAGGTTTGACCTTGACCCTACTGAGCAAAAGCCATTTCTGATGGCCCCTCCTGCCTGCCAGCACTTGGGAAAGGCTTTTTTGTCAGTTCTGGGGAAAGGTCCTTGTTTCCTTTCAGCATCTCTAAGTCCAGTATTCCTTGACGATCTCCGTAAGTTTTGGCATTAATATTCCCTTGGATTGAGGACCTTCACAGTGCAGGGACCCCAAATACAAAGGACATACTCCACGCCTGACTGCTTTTTTGGTGATAGTAAGTCCCTCTGAGCTCTACTCACTTCTCCTTCCTTTTATCTCATTAACATATAACCTACTCCTGTAGATTTCATCCAGCTTCATTTACATCATAGAAATGAGGGTTTACAACACAAATGGATAATTACATCAAATCAGAGCTGACCACATCAGATCACATCTTGTGGGTGATTGTATCATATTAGATCTCATCATGGAGGTGATAACTACATCTGAATTCCTAAACCACTGAGAATTCTGGTGTGGCGCTGTGGGTTAAAGCTGTTTGAATTGCAAGATTGGTGGTTCAAGCTCACCAGCTATTCCTTGGAAACCCTATACAGGGTCGCTATGAGTCGGAAATGACTTAACAGTACTTAACAACAACAACAACTGAGAATTCTAGCCAAGTTAAGTTGATACAAAGCCTGAAATATCACAGTGTACGTATACAGTGTATCTGTCTACGCATAAAAAAATTAAAGAGAAGCTTCCAGGTACACTAAAACATCTTAAACATAAAAATACATTAAGAATAATGTTTTGATGCATCAGTCCCAAAGTCGTACCCATGATTGTTATTGTTAGGTGCTGTTGAGTTACTTTGGTATAGAGTTTCTAAGGAGTGGCTGGTGGGTTTGAACTCCAGATCTTGTGGTTAGCAGTCCAGTGCTTATCCTACAGTGTCACACCAGGACTCCAAACCATTTCATGTACCTTGATTTTTTTAATATAGTTGTCTTTGGGGGTAAGGAGCTCTGGTAGCATAGTGGTTATGAATCAGGCTGCGAAACACAAGGTCAGTAGTTCAAAACTACCAGCTGTTCCACGGGAGAAAGATGAGGCGTTCTACTCCTGTAAAGATTTACAACCTCGGAAGCCCTATACAGGGTCACTATGAGTCAGAACCAACTCCACAGCACACAGCCAGCCAGCCAGCCAGCCAGTCTTTGGGGCTGGTTGCTTAGTAATTATGCATTGGATAGACGTTTGCAACCTAAGGATTGTAAGTAATCAATCTGTAATTACTACACATGTC